GTACCGTCGCCTGCCTCGGGCGGACGGGAGGCCGGGGGCGGGGGCGGGCCGGGCGGCCCCGGAGCCCCACTCGTCACCGTTCCCTGCGCTCTGACCCTCCGCGTCGCGGCCCCCGCCCGCTGCTCAGCGCCCCCCGGGGCCGCGTCCCTCGTCCCATCTCTCGTCTCCCTGCCTGTCCCATCCCCTCTTCCGCGGCTCCTCTGCCCATCCTCCCATTTTTCGGTACTCCGCTCGGGACGCCGTCTCCTGCCTCCACCCCTGCTCCCATCGCTTCTTCCTCTTCCCGTTTCTCCTCCCTTTTCCATTCCCACTGCCCCCAGCCCCAAACCTCCCTCCCTTCTCATTCCTCCTGCCCTCCATCCCTAGCCCCATCTTCCTTCAGTCGCTGCCTCTGCTGCTGGGAAGGTGTGTAGCCTAGTTTTGGGGATCGTGTTGAGGACCTTCTCCCTGAGTCTGGGTGGGCTTCGTGCTGGAGGGGCGGGGTAGGGGCCCCTGCCCCTGGGGAGTGTATGGGGCGGTGCGTTCAGGCCTTTGGCCCCGAAGCCAGAGGCGGTCTGTATGTTTGCTGTGCAGAGTGCAGCTGTGTAGACGCTGTTTCCTGCAGCAAATGGGCCTGTGCGTCGGCCTCTGGTGTGTCCACGGGTGGGGCGCGGGCCTATGCTAGTGCATGGGTGCTCGTGAGCATTGCAGGTAGGGACGCACCAGCCACCTGGGCTGCTTCTGGTTTGGGCAGCTGGACCTGGAGGCTTACCTTCTCCACCCCAGGTGCCTCTTGGGAAGTGTGGGCAAATCCTCCTCAAGGGAGGAAGCTCTGGGATAGCGGGGCCTGGCCCTCTCTCTGGTGAGTGGAGCTGGGTCCTTGGGGCCTCTGCCTCGCCTTTACCCCAGAACCCTTTCCTGGCACAGCATGTGACCCTGGCATCTTGTTCTTAAGGCCCCTTCATCCTGTCTGTCATAGGCAGGTTTTGTCTCCTCCAGACTCTCCCTCTCAGTAGCTCAGGAGCTGCCTGCTACATTGCCCAACTTTGGCTCTGAGTGGTCCTGTCAGGCCCCCTTTTGCTGCTGGGATGGATTGGACCGTCTCCTGGAGGTAGCCATGCCCCCATTATGCAATGAGGGATTTGTAGGGTGTGTAATCCTACCTGGTCCCTCAGCGCTCAGGTCCATATTTTAACATTTTTAAGTAGTTTCCCCTCCTGACCTTGTGGGTTTGCTTTTCCTGTTTTGGTTTTGCTGGAAGAAGAAGTCATCATCCAAATGCCTGTCCCTTAACAAGAGGGGACTTATATGGATGCCACAAGTGTGGTCTGAGATGGGGCCTGCTTGCGGTGGCCTTGGTAGTCCCCTGGGCACACCTCCAAGGGCCTGGGTTCCTTTGCTGGGGGCGACATGGTGGGAGTTGGAATCTCTGACCAAGTCGACTTTGCAGTCTCTTTGGTTGGGCCAGGCCGGGATTTTCTGCAGAATGGGAGCTTTTACTCACAATGATGTTGGTTGATTGCTGCGTGTGAGGCTGGTTGCTCCTCTACTTACTGACAAGCAGAACCGAGGCAGCAGGACAGTCCAGCATTGACCACAGGGCATTGGCTGCATCACAACCTTGATTGGCATCAAATGGGGCAGGAGAGAGAACATTAAGGTGTCACCCAAAGAACACTAGGGGTTTTGGGTACCTCTGTGTGCCTGTCCTTTATCTTGTGCTAAAACGTCTTCCCAGAGTCTCTTTAAGGTGAAACTAGAACCTTTTCCATGGCTTTTAAGGCAGATGGGCAGCCATTCTGGGTATTTAGAATGCAGACTCCAAACGTGCGCGTGTGCGTCCATGCGCGTGTGCCCGTGTGCATGCATGTACACGCATGTGCGTGCGTATCCTCCCAAATTAAGGTTTAAAATAGACTGGGAAACCTAGTGTGGTGATGGAGACATTGGGGACACTGTTGGTGCCTAGATCCTAGGGTGGGATGAAGCTAGGAAGGATTGGGAAGCAAGACTAGGCTAACCTACTGGATGTCTCGATGGCTTCATAGAAGGGCCTGTCTGCCCCCCAGTAGGAGTCCCTGTAACACCAGAGGCACAAGTCACTCCTCATAGGAGGAGGAAACAAAAGATTGTTATTAACAATCACCGTTCCAGACGGTCTGTCTGCCATCACGTTTAGTCTTCGCAGCAATCCTGCAGGATGGGGATTGACTTCTGTTTTGCAGATTGAGAAATCTGAGGCTCAGAGAGGTTAGGTGTCCACTGGAGGGCACGTGCACAGGAAGGGGAAGGGCCAGGGCTGGAAGCAGACCTCTTGCCCCGCCTGCTTACCCGTGGCTCCAAAGCCCATTTGGTTAGCTCCCATTGCTCCCTGGCAGGTCCCTCTTCTTGGTGACAGGGGAGAGGGAAACCTCCTTTCCCTGGGGATAACCTGAGTGACTTCCCTCAGAGCCTCTCCCTCCCTCTGGGCTGGGAAGGCCAGGAGATAGGAGGATTCAGCTGTTGGGGTTCAGCTGTGGGTTCTTTGATGTTTCTGAGCTACTCCAGGTCTCAGTTTTGTCACCTGCCACTTGTGGAGGTAGGGTGAGGAAGGGAACCCGTAGATATATAACACCCCATCCCCTTGGGTCTTTGTGGTCACTGTTCTCTCTGGGCGATGGCTAACGCTGGGCACTGGGCAGCCGACTGGTGAGGCAGGCACAGCGGGACCCTTGTCACTGATGGCATCTGAATAGCTCCTGGTGGGGCCTGAGGGCACCCTCAGCCCCCCCGCCCCAGTTTCTTCAGGGGCCTGGAGCCTGGTGGAGCTTTTCATGGCCCTGTCCCCAGGAGGGTCCGGGGTAGGCGGGGCTTAGCCAGGGGCTGTGTAGGCTGTCCAGATAGCGCTTCCTTGGTGTTCTTGGACCTGTGGCTAGGTGGTTGTCTGTCTGCCAGGCGCTGTCTGTGACCACAGCCTTCTCAGCTGGCTGGCGCACCTCCTGCCCTCCTGACTCCAGGCAGCCCAAGAAGCAGATGGGGTGGGATTTGTTCCCAGTCATCGCTTGTTCCATTGGTGTGTCGCAGGCACCACTGGGAGTGCTGGACCTGTGCTGGGTGCTGGGGCTCCAGATGAGTCAGGGCAACAGATAAATAAAAAGGTGACGACAGTGGAGGGTGATAGCATCCAGGATGGAGGTCTGCACAGTGCTCAGAGAGCCTCAGACACTCCTGGGGTTGATGACTGGCTTGGCCACTTACCAGCTGTGTGCCCTTGGGCAAGTCACTAAACCTCTCTGAGCTTTGGCCTTCTCTTGTGTAGAATGGGGAAGACAACATATCTCATGAGGTTGTTCTGACAATTAAATGAGACAGTGCTGGAAAGGATGTGGCACATGCCTGGCACATGGTGGGGGATTGGGCACTGGGAGCTGTTACTGTTATTATCATCACTGTGATTGTTGCTGGCTTTGTTGCCCTTCTCTGTTTAAACGTCCATCTTAGAGCTCCTTGAGGGCAAGGCCTGGGTCATAGTCTTCTCTTGGCTACTCATCCTTTTCCTGACCCTTCCAGGGACGAGTCTAGCTTTGGCCCCAAGAAGCAGCCAGGACTGTGTCTGGAGCTGCATAGTCCAGTATGGTAGTCATTAACCACGTGTGGCCATTGAAATTTAAATTACTTAAATTTAAGTAAAATTAGAAATTCAGTTTCTCAGTCACACTAGTCACCTGTCAAGTGCTCAGTAGTGACATGTGGCCGGTGACTACCCTACTGGACATGACAGAGTAGACTCTTCCCTCATGGCAGGAAGTTGTCCTGCACTGGGTCCAGAGCAGCCTAGAGCTCTGGGGGGACTGCAGCTACAGAAACATCCCCACCGTTGGCTCGAACAGCCACCAGCCATCTCCTGGTGGAGTCTGCAGTTATACAGAACATGTTCCCTTTTGGGTGGCCTTGCTCCCCTGGCCAGAGTGGCTGGTCCCTGGCAGTTCTTATTAGCCCAGGGGGGTGGAGGGCAGGCCTAGGATTGCCCAGACTGCAGCCCTTGCCTGCTGTCCCAGCCCTGTTTCTCCCACTGGGCCTGCCTGGCAGGGAGTCCCGGAGTGATGCTCCTGGTTCCCAGCACTGGCCAGGCCCCGGCAGGTCTCAGTGTGTCCTTTAGTCAGTTTGTTCATCCCATAAACCTCTGAGCCCCTACTCTGTACCGAGGAGGCTCCAGTCCAGAGCGAGATGGATACTGACAGTCCTGGGAGGAACCAGGCTGGTATTTGCCAGGCGAGCTTTACTACTTATTAAAATACTGCAATACTTCTGTGCTGCTTGACTGTTGTCCCAAAGCCCCTGCCCTCAGGGCCCCAGCAGACCTGGCCTCTCCCCTGCCTTCCCCTCCCTCCTCGTAATCCAGCGGTAAGGAGTCAACAGCTGGCATGGTGAGTGGTGTCCAGGACCTTATTCTGGGGCTGGTCTAATCTCTCAGCACTGGTTATTAGATATTTGTAGTGTTGTCCCTGTGTATAATGTGTGATGACTTTGATTTGAAGAGCCTGGTGTCCTGTCACTGTGTTCTTGTGGCTCTGACCCATCAGGCAGGCTGGGACTGAAGCTGTCCCCGCAGTGTGCCTAGCACCGTGTTAGCCCATGGCAGAGTCCAGCTGAGGTGCTGCCACCCCACTCAACTCCTCTCCCTTCCTTTCTCTCTCCTGCAGGCAGCCATGAGGACCAGCCGCCCTGAGCCGGGTGCCCAGGCACCCCGGAGCCCCCGCCCACAGCCCCTGTCCCGGAGCTCTTCCAGCCTGCTGGGTGAAGGCCGAGGCCAGAGGCCAGAGCTCCGTAAGAGTGCCAGCAGCACAGTGTGGCAGGCCCAGTCGGGCGAGGCCCGCGCCGATCCCTGTGTCCTGGAGGAAGAGGGGCACCAGGCTGAGAGCACGGAGCAGGCACAGGCCTCCAGCCCCCGGCCACAGCTCACTGCCGGGGGCCACTGGCAGAGCAGCACTGTGGGCAATGTGTCTACTGTAGACAGTGGTGACCTGTGTCGCCTGCAGGCCCCCAGCACTGCCACCGTGCAGAGGAGCCACTCAGACCTGGTCCGTAGCACCGTGACCCGGGGCCACAGAGGTGCTCGAAAGGCCAGCCTCAGCTGCTCGGCCCTGGGCAGCTTGCCTGTCCACAGGGTTCGGCTGCAGCCTGGCAGTACTTCTGGCCAGGGAGGCCAGGCCCCTGCAGGCCTGGAAAGGGATCTGGCTCCAGAAGGTGGGACTTCGAACTCAGCCTGGACACTGGGAGAGAGTCAGGTGTGGGTGCCGCCACTGGACCTGGGAGGTGCAACCACCCATAGCAGCCCCACGACTGGGCCCAAAGCCACTGGACAGTTGGCCACTACCTCCTGCCGTGCTCTGCCCCCAGCAGCTCTGCTCTGCGGCATGAGGGAGGTGGGGGCCAGTGGCTGCGGCCATGCCCTGCCTGCCCCAGGGATCCTGGCCTTTCCCAGATTAGTGGCATCAGTGAGTGAGTCTGGGCTGCAGGCTCAGCCTGGGGTGAAGTTCCAGTGTAGGTTGCCCGGGGGGCTTACTGGGCATTCCCACTGCTGTGCCCGCCCTTGGCGGCCCACCGGGTTAGCTGCGAAGCCTGGTGCCACGACCAAGGATGTGTGGACCATGACCTCAGCCAGTGACTTGGCTCCCGTGTTGGCATCCCCTCTGTCAGCCCAGGACGCTGGTGTGCAGGCAGCCCCCATGGCAGTCTGCAAGGCTGTGGCCACCAGCCCACCCCTGGAAGCCCCTGTGGCCCTGCACACATTCCCGGAGGTAACTCTGGGGTCCAGCCTGGAGGAAGTGCCGTCCCCTGTGCGGGATGTGCGATGGGACGCTGAGGGCATGACCTGGGAGGTGTATGGAGCGGCGGTGGACCCCGAGGTGCTGGGCGTGGCCATCCAGAAGCACCTGGAGATGCAGTTTGAGCAGCTGCAGCGGGCGCCCGCCAGCGAGGACAGCCTGTCTGTGGAGGGCCGCAGGGGGCCGCTGCGAGCTGTCATGCAGTCCCTGCGGCGCCCCAGCTGCTGCGGCTGCTCCAGCGCAGCCCCCGAGTGAGGAGCTGCGGCCCTCGGAGCTGTCCTGGGCCCATGGACTCAGCCCCAGGCCAGGGCCAGGGACGGTGGGGGGGCCTCGTGCTCCTTGGACCCGCTGGCAGCCAAGGACGTGTCTTACAGTCGGCTGCCTGTGGACCACAGGGCTGCAGCCTGGGGGCTTCCTGCTTCTTGCAGCGGGGCTGATTTTTAAGGGCTTGGTTCCCGAGAGCCACAACTCTACACATCCGGACTCTGAACTTTGGGATGGTTTCAGCACTGTGCATAACGGAGATCCTGAGTTTTCTGTAAAAATACTCAACTTTCTCTTCAGTGTCTCCTCAGAACTCTGCCGTGATTTCCCCCAGGACTCTTGGTGGCTCTATTTTAAAGCAGTGCTGAGATATAATGAGCTCCTGACATGAAAGCTGGGGCCCCAAGTCACAGGGACTGGCTGGGTCTTTCGGGAAGGGAACTGACATGTCAAGGGCCTCCTGTGTGCCACACGCTATGCTTGTCACCTTATTTGTTGAGTCTTCACCTCTTCCCCCGTTTTACAGATGGAACCACAGACCTTGGCATGGCTGTAGCTGACGTGCCCCAGGTTGGAAGCTTGATGTGGTGGGCCGAACACAAAGCCAAGGCTGGCTGAAGCCAGGATGTTTCTCTACAGCACGTGGCTGTGAAGTGCAGGGCGGTTGTGAACAAGAATTTATTGAGCCTATAATCTGTGCTGGGTTCTGTGGATTCCTTGGGGAATAAGACAGGCTGTCCGCACTCTCCTGAGCTCATGGTGTGTGTGAGGTGCCCATCGGTACGAGGGTGCTGAGCATTACAGAGGGCCGTGGGTGCTTCTAGAGCCAGATCCCGTGTAGGTCATTGTGTCTAGAGCCAGCCCCTGGGCTGGCCTCAGGAAGGGGAGAACAGGTGGCCACCTGTCCCCAAATATGTCACAGTGCCTGAAATTGCTTCATTATCACCTCATTCCTTTGGCTTAAGGATTTATTCCCAGCCAGTGCAGTTCTTGGAAGGAGGGAAGGCAGGAATGGATGGGAAAAGGGAAGGAACCTGGGATTGGGGTCTCCCACCTGTAGGACATGGCTGGAGCTGTGAGGCTGTGGTGGGGAGGGAGGCCTGTGGGCCCATTCGCCCAGTCCTATCCACGTGACCTGACATGGGCCAGGCAGTGGCGGCCAGAGGATAGTGGGGATGGAGAGCCCAGGACACTGGGGCTGGCACAGCCTGACTTCATTGCCCAAGGATCTTTCAAGACCTGCGGAGGGTGGGAGTGGGCTGTGTCCTAATCCTGGGGCTTAGTGTGGAAGATTCCAAGCTCCTGGGACTGAATTCGCCAGCTCACCCTTGTGAGGGAGCCAGAAGGTTATTGTCCTGCCCACGGTCACCTGGCATGGGAGGGTGGAGTCAGGGCCCACATGCAGTCCTGCCCATCACCTGGCCCTGTTCCTGGGCCCCCTTCTGCCCCTGGGAACCCAAGACCTGACAGCTGGCACCCTTCTCCACCCCCAAGGACCCAGTACTTATTGGGTGAGAATGACTCATGTGACAATGGGTTAACTTTTAGAGCAGGAAGGGCATGCTAACAGGCCAGAGGAACCAGGTGAGAAAGGCATGCTTCAGATCGGAATGCCTCCCATGGCCCCAAGATGGGGCTTTCTTACCCCAAAAAGTGCCTTTCCCACTCCTAGCTGAGACCAGGTAAAACGCCATCCCTGCTTAAAAATGACAGCAAGTTAGAACTGAGGATGGGCCTGGGGCGGAGGGGTTGGTGTGGTGGGCAGGCAGGGACTTGACCTTGCCCCCCTTTTAAAATGTGATCAAGCAGGTTTCCATGCAGTCAAGAGGCTCTGGGCACCGTGCAGCCCCGGGGCCTGGGTCTGTCTGTCCCTCTGCGTGGGGTACAGGGCGGGCACTTCATGCGCTGGGGGACAACACGTGGGTACCAGGCTGCCCTCTGCCTGGCCCTTCACAGGGGCTCCAGGAGCCCCAGCTGTGGACATGAGGGGAAGAGTGATGAACTGCAGTGGGGAGGGCACCATTGCAGAGGGCCACAGCCGAGGAGGGTCTTCAGGACACAGTGGAGCTGGACAGGTGGTGGAGAAGGGAAGGACATACAGGCAGAGAGCAGCCTGGTCAGAGGCCTATCCTGCCTGGACTGTGGCGAGTTACTGCGAGGCAGGCTGTGTTGGGGTGTTTGTTGGGCTGGGAGGCTGACAAGGGGGTCACCATTGTGAAGATCCTGGTGTGACTGAGGAAAGGAACTTAGGGGAGCTGTGGAAGGGATGGTGGGGCCAGATTTCACTTTAGAAATATCCTTTTGGCTGCCATTGGAAAGATGAGTGTGGAAGAGGTTGGAGGCGGGAGCCCAGGGAGATGAGGGTGTGGGAGCCAAGGAGGGGCCTGTTAGGGGGAGACGGAGTAGGCAGCTGGGAGCACAAATATGCATGCGCGTACACACACACACACACACACACACACACACACACTGTGTGGTGGATGCAGGAAGAAGGAGGACTTCTAGGAGGCTGAGGTTTCCAGTTTGAGCAAAAGGAGGTGAGGCTACCACCTGAGACCAGGGGAGGCAGGTGGGAGGTTCAAGAGGGGCAGGGGAAGGGCCACATGCCACAGGGTTTGGCTGGGACCAGTGAAACCTTCATGAAGAGACTCTCCTCTGTCATATGCAAATGTCATGAGTTCATTCTCTGGTCGATGTGTGCCAGTCTCTGCCACCTCCAGGCTGCACCTGGCAAGCCTGGATGGCAGACTGGGCTGGGCCCTGCATGGGAAGGGCTAGCCGAGCCCCCACCCACCTCATCGTGACCCAGATAAATGTTTGCAGCCAGCCCAGCCTGGGTTGGCCTTGGGGCTGTGCATGACTGGGGTCCCCAGAACACTCCTGGTTAAGCTTGCCGCCCTGAGACAGTGTGAACTGTGTCTTGGCCTCGCTGGCCTAGGCTGCACAGCCTCTGCCGATGGGTCCACCTGGAGCAACTGCAGCTTAATTTCTGAATTCCACCTGGAGACTGACTGAACCCCTCCTCCCCTTGCTGTGGCCCCTTCCCGGGCAGGCCTGACCGGCAGTGGTTTAGGGTCCCAGGACATGGCCACCAGCTTTGTTTACAGATCTCCTCTCAGACTCCAGATTTCTGACCAGACTTTCTGGGTCGCCTTCAGGCCCTGCTCTGGGAGGTGGCGGATTTCGTTATTTGTACACTGGTTTTATTTTGAATTCAAAATAAAGTGTTGGAAGTCAGAGCTTTGCCAGGAAAAGGTTGTTGGTCCTGGCTGGTCTTGATTTGTTCTGGTAGATTCTGTCCTGTGGAGCATCCACCCCAGATTCCTAGTGCTCCCTGCCCAGGCAGGAGTCCCCCTCCCTCCTCTCCAGGGACCCCTCCCTTCTGTCTACCCGCTCTCCTTCCTGGGAGCCTGGGCCCCCCACAGCTGAAGCCTGGCTTCCCTGGGCTGTCTCCTCTGGGCCTGGCCAGGCCCCAGGCTGTCAGCATCCTCACAGGGGATCACCCCTCCACCCCGGGGGAGAAGCGGTTCCTGCCAGAGTGGAGGCCACTGCCAGCCTGGGTCACAGAGCGCAGGAGGGTGGAGAAGCAGAGAATGGTTCTGTCCCACTGTGACATCACCTCCCTTGTCAGCTGGATTGGGTCTCTGTCACCTAGAGGTGTTGGATTTTTATTTCATGGGGACAACGCGGACTTGCCAGTGCAGGGCCTGACACGTAGGTCATGGGGGGAGCACTATAGCCTCGTGGTTTGGAAATTGAATTTGAATCCTGGATCTCACCTACAGCCATGAGATCTTGGGCAAGTTACTAACCTTGCTGATCCTCAACTTCCTCATCTCTGAAATGGGGATGATAATGGTGCCTCCTCCTTGGGTTTGTGAGGATTAAGTGGAGTAAGCTATGCAGAGCGCCTGGCACAGAGTTAGCGCTCAGCTCACGGGCTGGTGGTGTTGGGGGCCACTTCCATAGCCACAGGCAGGGGCGAGCTCTTGCCCTGCCAGCTTGGCTGTGATCAAGGCCCGCATCCCATTTCCTTGACCATTCCTCATTCAGGGCCTCTTTCCGGGTCCTTCACCCTCTGCTTCGCCTCCTGCTTGGGACACCTGTGCTCTGTCTGTGGCCCTCTGAAACTGTGGAGGACCCTCTGAGGAGGACCGTCCCGTCCCTCACTGCTAGTCTGGGGCTGGGCTCCCCAGGAGCTCGTGCTGGGATGAGGATTCTGGATGTATTAGGGAAGGGGGAGCGGGGAGCTCAAGGTAGGGACGGGACAGAAGCCAGGCCAAGGGTGTGGTTTCAGGTAGAGTCCTGGCCTCGGCTGGGTCCCACAGAGGTGTCCTGGCTCTCAGTGTAAGGGCCACCAAGGGTGGGGTGAGGGGGTAAACCCCAGGCACTTCTGCCTCTGGCATGCAGACTGAAAAGCTCCAGGAGCCCTGGGGCAGGTCTCTGCACGGGGTTGTGGGACCTATCCCAGGGAGGGGTGCACAGAAACCAAGGGCGTCAGAGGGGTCTGGGGCAGACCCACCCACAATGCATTCACGCCCTGAGCAGCCCCTTGCCCAGTGGCGTGTGGAGCCCGAGGCCCACAGGGTGCCCAGACCTCCTCTCTCTGACTTGCTCTGAAGCAGTTCTGTCTCATTTGCATTCCTGCTGAGGGACCTGGGTTCCTGAAATGCACAGCTCTGCCTTTGCCCACGTTAAATGCCTCCTCGTTCGTCATTCGGCCTAGCCCAGTTTTGCCATCTGAAGCTGTGACTAGTCCTCTATCAGTTTCTTTCCAACTCGTCAGGCAGAGCAGGGCCAGACGGAGCCTGGGGCCTGTCACTGGGTCGTCCTGTAGGTCTGCACTGGTTCCCAGGTCCCTATGAATCCACATGGTCATCTGTTGCTGTGGTTACATACCGATCATAAACCAGGAAAAACATCTTAGAAAAGTCGATGTTTATTAAAAAAACCAAACCAAACCAAACCAAAGTTGCATTGGCCTATAGAATTGGGGGTGGATGGGTGGGGTCTGATTCTCTTTCTCCAAGAGTTGGATAAGCGCCGACTTTGCTCACTTGCGCAGTGACTCTCCTGACTCAGAGCTCAGTTTCTCCCCTCCAAACCCAAGATGGCTCAGAAAGGAGGAGAGTCTAGGCCCTGAAACCTGTGATCCCAAATGGGTGTCTTAAAATTCATCTTTATGGGAGAGAATGTGGGGATGTAGGAATATGGCAGTGGACCTCTGGGGCTCGGGGCAGGTGAGTGTGTTCCATCTAAGGTGTGTGGCTTTTAGCCATGTGCTTACCAGTCTGTCCTGGCCCAGAGCTTTCCATTTGTGAACCTTTCCTGAGAAAAGACATAGGGTGCTTCCCCAGCATCCCATGAATGTGGCCCGGGGGTGCAGCGCCTCTCTGGGGGTCCAGGGATGAGTAGGGAGGCTCTGGCGGTCCTGCACGCACTGCCCTTGGTGCTCTCCCCCCGCCGCCATTTCTCTTTAATCCGTTTCCCTCTTCGTCTCCTTTTCTGTCACATGTCCTCTTTGTCCCCCAGAAACTTTGTGTCTCCCCACCATCCCACCATCCTTGCCCCTGCTTCCTTTCCCCCTCATACCAAGGGTCTGCCT